CTAACTCACATTAACTCACAGCATGGTCCCCTCTGTGATCTGCTTTAAGTGTCTGGTGTCATGCAATGCAATTACAACAGCTCTGCCTTCAGAATCAGTTTGTAGAGTTTCTTATTTTTTTCCCCCCCAGCATTTGTTGAATAGCTGACCAGTTCACAGGGTATTGAATCCATCTCCGGCCTTCACATTGCTGAACCATTAGATGTACAAAGATTTACTTTACAGGTGGGTGTGAAAGAAGGTGCTTTACTTCAGATGATCCCATTCTCACCCTCCACCAAATCTCACCATCAAGGCAGGACAGAGCCACTGACTCCAGTTCCTTCCTACTGCAGGGGAGACTGTGTACCCCAGCTCCGGTCTTATTTACTATTCCCCCCCAATTTCCCAGATGAGGGCAGATTCTAGAAATTAGTTATTGCTCCTTGCAGCTGCTCGATCAAGTAGATGCTGTTCTTTTTCTTTAATCCTTTGTGGCCCATGGGAGTCGCGGCCTCTGTATAAAAATGAGATGCCATTGAAGCATTTCTGTTTGCCAGACTATTGTTTGTCCTTTTAAAGTCTGCAGACCCACGCCATTCTTCGTGAGCGGTTGCTGCCTGCCTGAAGGACAAACCAAAATGACTATTTAAGGCACTAAAAAAAGGAAATCATTTAAAACTGAGCTGATTAAAAGGAAGAAACTATTCTTCCACTGAGAAGTGAATTGCTTTCAGCTGGCTTTAGCACTGAGCTTTGCCTGCAATGAGAACCAAATACCAGTTGCCTGATAGTGCAAGTATTTTGGAGGCACTTCATCAGCCATGACTTCAGTTTTTCCCTGTGTGTAACTGCAAAACAAGAGCACTGCTTCTGCTCATCCTGGCTTGTTGATTTTTCCTTTGGCTGTGCTGTTCAGAAGCTAACAAGGCTGTTCCTAGGGCAGCTTTTAAAGCCCAAACTCTTTCTTGCTACATCCACTTGGAAGCCCTCGCAGAGCCTTGGTTGCCTAAATAGCAAGAGGTTCAAGAAAAATTAAAGAAGCACCATGCATCTTTCTCACAACATGACAGTTTGTGTCCTTCAAAAGACTCCAAAGATGTTGGTGACATGCTGAGTTTTCAGCACACTCAAATGAGGAGAAAACAGGGAGATGGAGGAGCAAGTACTAAAGTTTTGCCAGGCAAAGACCTGTTTTTTCAATGCAGCACTCGCTCCCAGAACACACAGCAAAACACTGCTAGGAGCATCTGGTTTTCTAGTTAGCACCTTCATTTGCTCTGTCAAAATCCCCCTTTTCAAAGAGGTTAGAAAAAAAAAAAACCCCACTTATAAGGGAATCCAGTTATTTGACATAGGGTCCTAGAAGACATATCTCAAAACACAAGGGATATTTTGGAGAGGCGACGCGTGCCTGTGTTAGATCAGCCTGTCTGACTTCCATGACAATTCAGAGGCAGACCACTGGATTACAAAAATATAGGTATCAGTCTTATTTAGCTCCAAATCTGAAGATCAGCCGTTGTCCCAGACAACACTAGAGCCAAACCTCTGCAGAGCAGATCCGGATATTTTAGACACAAACCCCACTCTTTTAAAAATGCCATTTCATTCACTCTAGTATGTCCAGTCATGCAAACGGCAGCCTACTTTGGGGACAAACTCAGCCAAATATTTGAGGCCGGAACTAACTGCAAGACCTGCACTGACAAAGAGGGAGAAACCTCCCCAAAATGGAAAACAAGGATAGGCAAATCCATACTTTCTCCAAATTTATTGAAGGAGTTTTAAGGTACTTTGAAGTAATCGATTTTGCAATGCGTAATATTCAGTCCAGATTTAAACTAACACATAATTTTGTTTCCTGTCTTGAAACCCTCATAATGACCACAGATGTGCCAGGAATGTAAGTTCATGGACACGTTTGGGTTCATGGTTCCAACCTTCAATCACAACCATCTGATTCCTCCACTCCATGTGTTGCGAGACAGCTGTTGTTTCATGGTTCAAAAATATCTTGCTTCACCCCACCAAAGGGAACTATCAGCTGCTTCTGAATGTGATGAAGCTGATGAGAATAAGTGATTTTGGTAGAACTGCAACCCCTGCTGTAAGCAAGCAGATTCTTGCCATCCCTGACAAGCGTGGCTTTGATCTGTGATGGGATGATCACAGCCCAGCCAGCGTGTGAATCCTGCACACATGCAGAGACAGAAATGGTAACTTGCGATTAACAGGGGCTGCAGGATTCACTGCCAGAGCCCCCAAGCAAAGGCCATTGGAACATCTCCAGAGTTGCAGCATTCCCTTTTACTTGGAGAATTTATGAAATAACGCTACGCTTTAGTGAGCAGTTTTTCTCATTACTAGATTTGTCCCTTCTGTCTCATGAGATCACACAAAGTCCCTTTTGAGTTCAGCCTCTTTAATTATTAACACAATTCCTAAATATTTTATAGAATAGAATCATAAATTCATTTAGGTTGGAAAAGACCTTTAAGATCATCAAGTCCAACCCTTAACCTAACACTGCCATTCCACCACTAAACCATGTCCCAAAGCACCTCGTCTGCCCAGCTTTTAAATCCCCCCAGGGATGGGGACTCAACCCCTTCCCTGGCAGCCCATTCCAATGTCTGATAACCCTTTCAGTGAAGAAATTTTTCCTAATATCGAATGTAAACCTCCCCTGGCACAACTTGAGGCCATTTCCTCTCATCCTATCACTTGTTACTTGGGAGAAGAGACTAACACCCACCTCGCCACCCCTCTTGTCAGCCAGTTGTAGGGAGTGATAAGGGCTCCCCTCAGCCTCCTCTGCTCCAGGCTGAACACCCCCAGGACCCCCAGCTGCTCCCCATCTGGGGCTCCAGACCCCTCCCCAGCTTCATTGCCCTTCTCTGGACACACTCCAGGCCTTCGATGTCCTTCTTGAAGTGAGGGGCCCAACACTGAACCCAGCATTTGAGGGGCAGCCTCACTAGTGTTGAGTACGGGGGGATGACCACTGCCCTGCTCCTGCTGGCCACACCATTCCTGATACAAGCCAGGATGCCGTTGGCCCTCTTGGCCACCTGGGCACACTGCTGGCTCATATTCAGACGGCTTTGACCAACACCTCCAGGTCCTTTTCCGCTGGGCAGCTCTCCAGTCACTCATCCCCAAGGCTGTAGTGTTGCATGGGATTGTTGTGACCCCAGTGCAGGACCCAGCCCTTGAACCTCACACAGTTGGCCTTGGCCCATCGATCCAGCCTGGCCAGGTCCCTCTGCAGAGCCCTCCTCCCCTCCAGCAGATCGACACTCCCACACCACTTGGTGTCATCTGCAAACTGACTGAGGGTGCACTTGATCGCCTCATCCAGATCATTGATAAAGATATTAAAGAGAACTGACCCCAACACTGAGCCCTGGGGAACACCACCCATGACTGGCCACCAGCCAGATTTAACTCCATGCACCACCACTCTTTGGGCCCGGCCATCCAGCCAGGCTTTTTGCGCTATCTCTGCCGAGGTAAACGCAGCCTCAGTCCAGAAAGATCCAGCCATGGAACACCCTTCATTCCGACACCCTCCTGGGGAGACCTTTGGGAATATCTGCAAGGCGAGGGATGCAACTTCCCAAGGAGGCTTTCACTTGGCGTGGGGCATAATGCCCAGGGCACCGCTCCCCACGGGAATAACACGGGCACAGGGTGTAACGTGGCCCGGGGCATCGCTGTCCGAGGGGGCTGCTCCGGGCCGCCCTCCCGGGGCCGGGATCCCGGGCGGCGGCGACATCTTCGCGTGTCCCCGCTAGAGGGAGCGACAAATCCAGCCTGGGAGCGGGCTCCGGCCGGGGAGCTCCGGGGGCTGCATCCCGCGGGCAGGGAGCTGGCAGCAGGCAGCCCCCTCCCTGCATCCCTCCCGGGGAGCCAAAGGACCCCCCCACCAGCTCAGCTTACCTGCTGCGTGGTGGTCCCACACGTACTGCTGGTACTCGGAGAGGAGGCTGAGGCGTCAAGTAGATGTCTGCTATGTGAGCATGAGTTTTTGGCTGGGGCAGTGGACTGAAAGCCTGCTGCAGGGCCAAGAGGTGGGGGGACATAGGGGGAGAGGAGGTGATGGGAAATGGGGGCAAGAAAGCTGGAGGGGATGGGAAAAGAGGGGGAGAGCCCTGGGAGGGAAATGAGGAAGGAGAAGGGGATGAAAGAGCAACAGGGAGAGAAGGGAAGGGGTCACACTGATGAAATAAATCCATATTGCAGAGAAGTTCCCTTTTCTATCCACGTGGCCTCACAACGGGGCATGGCAGGATGGAAACAGCCACATCAATGAAGGGGAGCCCATGCGCCCCATCTTGGGACATGAAACAGAGCCAAAGTGCTGGCACAGCCCAGGATACAGGTGGGGGAGTCAGTGCTGTCCCCTTCCCTGGCTCCAGTCCCGGTCCCCAGCTCTGGTCCCCACCAAGGGCAGGGACAAGTCTGTACACTGGGCTCAGCAGGAGTACAAGAGAAAAGGGACTAGGCTGGGGGAAACAGAAGAGGCTGGGAGGGGAGTAAACCATGGATGGAGCCAGCAGGGCTCTGGGGGCTTCCCCAGGGCTCAGCAAAGAACCCCCGCTCTGCCTGTGAGCTGCAGGGCTGGC